GTGTGTGTGTGGGGAGGTGTATAAGTGTTGTAAACTGTGTGTGTGTGAGTGGAGGTGTATAAGTGTTGTAAACTGTGTGTGTGTGTAAACTGTGTGTGTGTGTGTGGGGAGGTGTATAAGTGTTGTAAACTGTGTGTGTGTGTGGGGAGGTGTATAAGTGTTGTAAACTGTGTGTGTGTGTGGGGAGGTGTATAAGTGTTGTAAACTGTGTGTGTGTGAGTGGAGGTGTATAAGTGTTGTAAACTGTGTGTGTGTGTGTGGGGAGGTGTATAAGTGTTGTAAACTGTGTGTGTGTGTGTGGGGAGGTGTATAAGTGTTGTAAACTGTGTGTGTGTGTGAGTGGAGGTGTATAAGTGTTGTAATCTGTGTGTGTGTGTGGGGAGGTGTATAAGTGTTGTAAACTGTGTGTGTGTGTGAGTGGAGGTGTATAAGTGTTGTAAACTGTGTGTGTGTGTGTGAGTGGAGGTGTATAAGTGTTGTAAACTGTGTGTGTTGTGTCTTTAGGGTGGATAACTTTGGCCTGGGCCTGCTCCTACAGACCAAACAGATCAAGAGAATGATCTCCTCATATGTGGGAGAAAACGTTGAGTTTGAGAGACAGTACCTGTCTGGAGAGTTGGAGGTGGAGCTAACACCACAGGTAACACACACACACACCTGTCTGGAGAGTTGGAGGTGGAGCTAACACCACAGGTAACACACACACACACCTGTCTGGAGAGTTGGAGGTGGAGCTAACACCACAGGTAACACACACACACACCTGTCTGGAGAGTTGGAGGTGGAGCTAACACCACAGGTAACACACACACACACCTGTCTGGAGAGTTGGAGGTGGAGCTAACACCACAGGTAACACACACACACCTGTCTGGAGAGTTGGAGGTGGAGCTAACACCACAGGTAACACACACACACCTGTCTGGAGAGTTGGAGGTCCCCACACTTAACACACACACACATGTTTCACACACCGATATTTGTGTTAAAATACAGGCCTTATCCTGCCTTTTACATCGACTGGAAATCATTTCCCCCAGTCTTCACAGCGCTTTTTCAGCTGTTAGGTTTGAGGGCATTAAACATTTAGTGTTCATGAGATTTTTATTTTTTCTTTAACCAGGTAGGCCGATTGAGAACTAATTCTTATTTGCAACAGTGACCTGGGGAGCAGCTGGGATTTGAACCCAGGACATCATACATACTAATAAATGCTAATAATCTAATAATCATGCCCTCTACCACTGAGATACCAACTCCTCCAATAGGAACCCAGGACATCATACATACAGAGCATGCACTCTACCACTGAGATACCAACTCCTCCAATAGGAACCCAGGACATCATATATACAGAACATGTACTCTACCACTGAGATATCAACTCCTCCAATATGAACCCAGGACATCATACATACAGAGCATGCACTCTACCACTGAGATACCAACTCATTGTTAGCTTTGTTTTGGTGTATATTGTCTTGTTGCAAGAAATATGTTGGGTGTGATTTTTGCAGCCACACATTCTTTGGGTTAATTCATACAACATTTGAATAGAGTTGATTGACTTCATGTCCAAACTATTACATTTCAGGAGGTTAGTTACCTCTTCGAATCACTGCATTGAAAGCAATAAACGTTTGTTACAGATGTTTAAAGTGTCCAGATGAAATAAGTAATGATTTGGTTGATAACTGTGAACCCAACCCAGGGCACACTGGCAGAGAGGATCAGAGCCGGGGGCGCGGGCGTACCCGCCTTCTACACTGCTACAGGCTATGGTACCCTAATCCAGGAGGGTGGCAGTCCCATCAAATACAACAAGGACGGAACCATCGCCATCGCCAGTGAAAAGAGAGAGGTCTACCTCCACTTTAATGTGACCAGAGAGAGGTCTACCTCCACTTTAATGTGAACAGAGAGAGGTCTACCTGCACTTTAATGTGACCAGAGAGAGGTCTACCTCCACTTTAATGTGAACAGAGAGAGGTCTACCTCCACTTTAATGTGAACAGAGAGAGGTCTACCTGCACTTTAATGTGAACAGAGAGAGGTCTACCTCCACTTTAATGTGACCAGAGAGAGGTCTACCTCCACTTTAGTGTGACCAGAGAGAGGTCTACCTCCACTTTAATGTGACCAGAGAGAGGTCTACCTCCACTTTAATGTTACCAGAGAGAGGTCTACCTCCACTTTAATGTGACCAGAGAGAGGTCTACCTCCACTTTAATGTGACCAGAGAGAGGTCTACCTCCACTTTAATGTGACCAGAGAGAGGTCTACCTCCACTTTAATGTGACCAGAGAGAGGTCTACCTCCACTTTAATGTGACCAGAGAGAGGTCTACCTCCACTTTAATGTGAACAGAGAGAGGTCTACCTCCACTTTAATGTGACCAGAGAGAGGTCTACCTCCACTTTAATGTGACCAGAGAGAGGTCTACCTCCACTTTAATGTGACCAGAGAGAGGTCTACCTCCACTTTAATGTGAACAGAGAGAGGTCTACCCCCACTTTAATGTGAACAGAGAGAGGTCTACCTCCACTTTAATGTGACCAGAGAGAGGTCTACCTCCACTTTAATGTGACCAGAGAGCGGTCTACCTCCACTTTAATGTGAACAGAGAGGTCTACCTCCACTTTAATGTGACCTGAGAGCGGTCTACCTCCACTTTAATGTGAACAGAGAGGTCTACCTCCACTTTAATGTGACCTGAGAGAGGTCTACCTCCACTTTAATGTGAACAGAGAGAGGTCTACCTCCACTTTAATGTGACCAGAGAGAGGTCTACCTCCACTTTAATGTGAACATAGAGAGGTCTACCTCCACTTTAATGTGAACAGAGAGGTCTACCTCCACTTTAATGTGAACAGAGAGAGGTCTACCTCCACTTTAGTCATCTCACGTTCCCCAGTTGGTGACCTGTTTCTTATCACAGTTCGGTCTCTTCAGAATATAACCATTGATTTGGACCAAAGCTCAATGAGCCAATGAAAAGGCCGGACACCATAAAAGTATTAGCATGGCCGTTGCTCATTGGCTGCCTCCTCCTGCTCCACCTACTCCTCCCGCTCCTCCTACTCCTGCTCCACCTACTCCTCCCACTCCTCCTACTCCTGCTCCACCTACTCCTGCTCCACCTACTCCTCCCACTCCTCCTGCTCCTCCTACTCCTTCTCCTCCCACTCCCCCTGCTCCTCCTACTCCTGCTCCACCTACTCCTGCTCCATCTACTCCTCCTACTCCTGCCCCACCTACTCCTCCTGCTCCACCTACTCCTGCTCCTCCCACTCCTCCTACTCCTGCTCCACCTACTCCTCCCACTCCTCCTACTCCTGCTCCACCTACTCCTGCTCCACCTACTCCTCCCACTCCTCCTGCTCCTCCTACTCCTGCTCCTCCTCCTCCTCCTCCTGCTCCTCCTACTCCTCCCACTCCACCTACTCCTGCTCCACCTACTCCTCCCACCCTCCTGCTCCACCCTACTCCTACTCCACCTACTCCTCCCACTCCTCCTGCTCCACCTACTCCTGCTCCACCTACTCCTCCCACTCCTCCTACTCCTGCTCCACCTACTCCTCCCACTCCTCCTACTCCTGCTCTACCTACTCCTGCTCCACCTACTCCTCCCACTCCTCCTGCTCCACCTACTCCTGCTCCACCAACTCCTCCCACTCCTCCTGCTCCACCTACTCCTCCCACTCCATCTACTCCTGCTCCACCTACTCCTCCCACTCCTCCTGCTCCCACTCCTCCTGCTCCACCTACTCCTGCTCCACCAACTCCTCCCACTCCTCCTGCTCCACCTACTCCTCCCACTCCATCTACTCCTGCTCCACCTACTCCTCCCACTCCTCCTGCTCCACCTACTCCTGCTCCACCTACTCCTCCCACTCCTCCCTACTCCTGCTCCAGCTACTCCTCCCACTCCTCCTACTCCTGCTCCACCTACTCCTGATCCACCTACTCCTCCCCCTCCTCCTGCTCCTCCTCCTCCTGCTCCACCTACTCCTCCCACTCCTCCTACTCCTGCTCCACCTACTCCTCCCACTCCTCCTGGTCCTCCTGCTCCTCCTACTCCTCCCACTCCTCCTCCTACTCCGACTCCCTCCCACTCCTCCTACTCCTCCTGCTCCTCCTCCTACTCCTCCTGCTCCTCCCCTCCTCCTCCCTGCTCCTCCTCCTCCTCCTCCCTCCTACTCCCTCCTACTCCTCCTCCTCCTCCTGCTCCTCCTACTCCTCCCTCCTCCTCCTCCTCCTCCTGCTCCTCCTACTCCTCCCACTCCTCCTACTCCTGCTCCACCTACTCCTCCCACTCCTCCTACTCCTGCTCCACCTACTCCTCCCACTCCTCCTACTCCTGCTCCTCCTCCTCCTGCTCCTCCTCCTCCTCCCACTCCTCCTGCTCCACCTACTCCTCCCACTCCTCCTCCTACTCCTTCTCCTCCTACTCCTCCCACTCCTACTCCTCCCACTCCTACTCCTCCCACTCCTCCTACTCCTGCTCCTGCTCCTCCTGCTCCTCCTACTCCTCCCACTCCTCCTACTTATGCTCCTCCTCCTACTCCTTCTCCTCCTACTCCTCCCACTCCTCCTACTCCTGCTCTTCCTACTCCTCCCACTCCTCCTGCTCCTCCTACTCCTTCTCCTCCTACTCCTCCCACTCCTCCCACTCCTCCTACTCCTCCTGCTCCTCCTACTCCTCCCACTCCTCCTGCTCCTCCTATTCCTCCCACTCCTCCTACTCCTGCTCCTCTTCCTCCTGCTCCTCCTACTCCTGCTCTTTCTGCTCCTCCTACTCCTGCTCCTCTTCCTCCTGCTCCTACTCCTGCTCCTCTTCCTCCTGCTCCTCCTGATCCTCCTACTCCTCCTACTCCTCCCACTTCTCCTACTCCTGCTCCTCCTGCTCCTCCTACTCCTCCCACTCCTTCTACTCCTGCTCCTCCTACTCTGCTGACATGTCACACTGTAACCTTTATAGCCACACTGAATATGTTTAATACCTGACAGTTTTTCCGCTGCCTGTATCTAATGTCTTTCTGTGTTGTTAATGGCAGGTGAGGGAGTTTAATGGTCGTCACTACATCATGGAGAAGGCCATCACTGGGGACTTCGCTCTGGTTAAGGCCTGGAAGGCAGACAAGGCCGGGAACATTGTCTTCAGGTAGCCATCTTTACACCCACCCACTAAAAACCTGTCAGTCGAAACTTACATCAGGGCAATATAATCTTACATCTTGCAAAAAGTGCAGGGTGCCTGTTTTTGCATAATGACGCAAAAGTGACTGGTGTGTTTGATTATTCCAAACAGCAGCTTCTGAAATACAGTCTGATGCACACATTGATTTAACACAAATGTTTTACCCACGTGTATTCAGACCACTGTTTACCTTTGGCCAGGTGGGACCTGTTTTACCAGGTGACGTTTACGCTAAATAGATTCCAAAACCATGCGAGGGAAATATCTATTCAGAGGAATCTTAAGCCACATGAACTTCATTTTTTGTTCTGTGTATCTAGAATAAAAACCTAGATGAATACAAACACTCTTATTTACTGTATACAATGCAGGTTGCATCTGGTTGGCTATTAGCATTTGACCTCACACATAGAGGCACCGTGTTTGAAGCAACTGTACATGTTATGGTAAACAACTTATTTTATCATTACTGTGCTTATGTCATGTATTTATATGTAGAAACACTAATATTACTGCTGTAAATGCAATGAAATGTTTCACCACAAGGGGGCAGTATTTTCATTCCACAAAACAATCTTGTCTTCACAGGCACATACAGCAGTACTGCCAGTACTACTAATGCCATTCATTAGTTATTTGCATTTGGTTTTTCATTGTATAATCTCTATTAATTATATTGTTGTATTTTAATCATCTCTCTCAATCTCACTCTTCCTTTTTCCTTTATCTACCTTTTATCTCTGTCTTCTCTCTCTAGGAAAACTGCCAGGAACTTTAACCAGCCCATGTGTAAGGCAGCTAAAGTCACCATTGTAGAGGTATGTGCCTCGTCCCCTCAGCTATGTTGCTATGCTAGCGTTCTTTTGTGCTTTTGTGATTTGTAACACAGACAAACCAGTAATATTATGTAGGTATATAGACTGTGCCATGGCCAATAAAGTGTCTCCGTATAACAGATGATGTCACAGAACATTGTGTGCGTGTGTGCGTGCGTGTGTGTGTGTGTGTGTGTGTCCAACACACAGCCGCTGTAACTCTTGAGGTTGTGTTCTAATTCTTG